CCATATGCGAGAAGCTGACACATGAAGTACATCCTCTAGGGCTAGATGATTATAGTAATCTACAAAAATCTCATCAACATCCACGCAAATAACAATGGCAGGAGCATCAACAATGGGATCTCTAGGTATACCATGTGTATACTCGAATTGTAGCAAGAGTCACTGAGGTAAATGTTGGTAAGTAAGTATCAATACCTACATGTCAGTCTTCTAGAGTAAAAGGCTATCACCATCCTGGGTCGTCTAATGTTCACCGTACGACATAAAATAAATATCACCCGACACGATGTGGTTAAGATCAACTCAGAATGACTCGATGATTCTCTTTGAGCGAAATAATCAAGAATGCATGTGACAAATCCTCATAGTAGTCTTCCATATATGCCTAGCCGGTGAGACGTGAAAATTGCTAGAGGATTCATGCTTGAAAATGGTTCAAATGAAATATTAGTAACGGTGTAGCATAAGTATTATGAAATCAATATTACTAAGGGTGCAAAAAAGTTATCATAAATAGAAAATTGTTTCCATTTAATTGTCAAATCTTACATAAACTACCTCAACTAATTTAGAATAGAGATACATCAAACAAGAAACCCCCAATTATACTTGTGAATCTTCTCAAAGTCAAATAAATATTTAAGGTGGATAACATCGAATAAGTTGCACTTGTATCCACAAATATGGACGTGTTGACCAAAACCAAGAGGTGTGGCCTCAATGCATAAGCAATGTGGTAAGTAACTCGTGTTGTTGGGTGAGAATATAGAGAAATGAAACGGTCTAGATGGGGTGAATATACCCTTTAAAAACAATTCGAAAAATTTGACTGATTCTCCAAAATGGATTATGAGAGGTTTTTAAAAAATGCGCGTGAAAGGTGTTTAAAGTGAAAATATGAAGATTATACTTTTGTTGGAACTTGATCACTTAATCAATTTGTAAATAACAATAGATGGTTTTATGATGATACACAAAAGGTAATCAATTGATTCAATTGTATATATCACGGGGTGCGTTTATACAACAATTCAATATCAATGAATTCTAAACTCAACAGTTTCTCATAATTTAATCAGCACTAAAGCTTGATTACACCTCAATTCTAACAAAACCTAAGATTACGTAATAAATCTCTACCAATTGAATAAATGATAAACTACGCTAAGAATTGAAAATCTAAGCATGCAATATACTACGAAAAATTAAATGTAAGAGTGTGTATGTATGATAGAGAGAGAGAGAGAGAGAGAGAGAGAGAGAGAGAGAGAGAGAGAGAGAGAGAGAGAGAGAGAGAGAGAGAGAGAGAGAGAGAGAGAGAGAGTATAAATAGGTATATAGTGGTTCGACGTTTGTCCTCACTTTGCCTACTCCACTTTTTAATGGTTTCCCATTGGAACCTGCTTTGTTCCTTTTTATTTTGACAAATATTTCAAAAATTAATACAAAACTTTAATCCATAATAATGTTGAGAAAAATAAATCTTCTATCTAGATCTTGACTTTTATACAGTGTAGTACCAAACTCTTTTACGTAATCTTTACTCGATTCACGCTTCTTGAATCTTTCAGCTTCACCAATCTTCTCACAACTTCTTGTGTGACAATCACCCATTGATTTCTTGAGCAATTAGTTGTCTGAAGATTTAAGAAGAACTCCACATTGTATGTAGCCTTCTAAACAGTCACTACTAAGATCACCTGGAGAGAAGAATCTCATTCTTTTCACCTGAATTTGTCAGCACTAATGACAACAACCTCAATCTTGCAAACTTCTTGATAATCTCAAACAAATATTTAAAAAGATAAGTTTCAAGACAACGTCTCTCTCAATCAATTAAAAAAAATCTCTCATTATCAAGATCTGAAATCAAACTTTAGGTTGGAGATGAAAAAAAATTGTTTGTAAGAGTTTTTGAACTTTCAAAAAGAGAGGGTGTTTATTTCATAAAATCACACTGAAAAAATATTTCAAAGTTGTGTAATTTGTTTTTGTGAAAAATGGTGACAACATATTTTTATTTGTGCTTGAGATTAAGCACAAAAATAGTTAGAGTCGAGTCAAGAACATTTTATGATTTGAGTCAAATGAGGAAGTAATGTGAAACAAGATCTCATGAAGAAAAGTGATCTATTTTTCTGTGATTCGATTCACACAGGCTCATGGTTCAAATCATGTGTTAAGGCTAATTCGAATTAAACGGGTCAGTGGCTGCTAGGAAGACTGTGATTTGAGTCATTCACAAAGTGTGTTTTGAGCCACATAGTTGCATGATTCGAATCAGGTATAAATTGTTATTTGAATCACAGACACCAGAATTTTCCTTCTCACCTTTGTTTTTCTTAATTCCATACATGGATTGTGAGTGACTCGAGTCACACACAAGAAATCTCAATTTTCAAGTTTTTCAAAATAGTTTGAGATTTCACTTCCCACATGACTTGAATTGATATCCCATATGGATCTTATTTCATTAATTCAGGCGATTGACTTAAGCCATCATGGTTAAATCTCAAACATAACAATTGGTTTATGCATGCTTAAAAATAAATTGATTCAAACTTGATTCAGAGACGTGCAATCATGAAGGAGAGTCAATAAACTATACAAAATCAAACAAAAAGAGATAAGACAAACAACAAAATTGTATCGAGGTGCTCCCCCTAAATGTATTGGGGACATGCAACTTCACATGCATCATCACGATTAACATCTGAAGATGTAGTCAGGTGATGTTCATACAGATCCACCAAGAATGAAAATCTAGCATGACATTTTCTGGTGTCATCTATTTCCTATTAGACTTTTTAGGGGCCAACTCTTAAATAAGTCATGGTCATGTTCAGTGCCTCAGGTCTGCTGGTTCTAGAACAATTTGATAATTTTTCATGTAGGGGGCATGATACATCATCAATTGTGATAAGCATCTCACCAATCAAAAGATGAATGAAGACGTCTCTGCGTGTCATCTTTTGACAAAACTAGACAATAACCCATGGTTAATATAATCATATTCATCTTTGCATAGTCTTGCAGCCCAAATAGCTGCAAGACATCCTGACACCATGATTCATTAAATTGCACTAGCTTTGTAAACTTCTTATCGCGGGTAAGACATTTTAACGTATCACGATAGTGCAAAAAATAAATATATCCATCGACATACAACTCAAATATTATAATATAGATGTTTAAAAGAGTAATTAAGAATTTATGATACCTCTCATTCCCAAACATATCTATCAGTGTGGTCTGGATACAAAGGAAACAATGAAAAGCCTGAGGGGACTCCCAAGAAGTCATCATGCACATCAGGATTTGGAGCAGCATGAGGCACGTGAATCTGGGAGAACAATGCTTGAGACACATGAACCCGAGAAGACGATCTCTCTCGTACAAACAATGACTTTCCAACTGCAAGTCGCGAGGGTCTAGCTTTTTCCCTGCTAACAGAAGCATGTTAGACCACTCTGCAATGCCTTAGTCTTTTTTGGTTGTTAGACATTGTTCCTACAATCAAACAAGCAGAAAAATATCATAATAAAATACAAAAGCAAAAAAACAACGAAGCAAAACCAGCACAGAAACAAACCAATCTAAAAAATAGATAACAGAAAACTTTGAATTTTGTCTACGAACTAAGGGTCTGGATTTCAAAATTAGGACTGCAATGAATAGAAACACGAAGCAGAAACAAAGAATGCACGAACCTAAGCTCTAATGTTCAACATTTCAAAGCGAAGCAGCTCAAAACAAACAAAAATGACATACCTATTACATTTAAGTCTAATGTATCATACCTATATATTATTTAAGTAATACATGCATGTGAAATAAAATAAAAAAAGAAATGAATAACTTAGCAATGCAATAAAATAGAATTTCATATGCATGCAATATAGTGGACTAGAGACTTGTCAATATTCAATGCAACGGAGTAGAAACTATAAGAATACTTTAAAAATGATGGAACAAGTTTTGTGAATGCAAATGAAGAGAATCTCTTTAGTTTTGCTCTGTTTGCATAAATGAAAATGGAAAAGGAGGGGAAAACACAAATACTTAAGCAAAAACATTTGGATTTCAATCTCCGTAAACAATCCAGCAATCCAGACAATGGAATCCAAAGTATTTTGAAATTGTATGATTCTAAGATTAGACATAGGTGTAATGCGTTAAGTGTGTCCGGAGTTCAATCTTTATAATTTACTATAAGGATTCCAAAGTCCACAATTTTTTTATAATTTTAACTTGAGCATATTCCAAAAAGGACTTCGGAGTTTACAATCCAGATTTTAGAGTTATTTTTGAAATAGTGGGTGAGTAACTCATGAGGTGTATTGAAGAATCTTAAAAGTAGCGTGTGATGTTAAGAAATCAGCGAAAACTTAAATTTATGACATATTTAAAAACTAAAAAGCAATATTACTCAGAAAGTGTTTCAAATTATTTATAAAAAATTATCTCAAATAATCAATCAATAAGGAATTGAAGGATTCCCGTCATGGTCTTCTAAGTGCTTCACATCATGGTCTTCTAAGGCATAAAAGATTTTTACATTTTCTGTATGACAAAAAGCATTGCATGACCACTACTGTCAACTGTCACAATCCTAACAATTATGAGTATACATGTTGCTGACCCCAATGATAAACTATCAACTATACTGTTACAATCTAAGTGAGTATCTTCTGCCATAGTCACGGCTATGCACAATGGACCAACCAAGTAATCTCTCCTATGAGTAATCTGGTTTGAATACCAAACTTAATAGCGAGTCAACCAAAGAGCACAATTTTCAGCAGCATTCTAGTTCTGATAAGAGTTCCATCGATATTCACTGAAGTAAGGATTGTCATGCAATCCACGGACAAACAACACATTCACGCGTAACTTATAATTTGATGTACCATATATTCGAGTCCGAGCCCGTGAATGGAATCTACATTTGTGCTGACATGATATCATCAGCTGCCTCCTCTGTGTTTAAGTCTCAATTGCTATCTAGGTAAAAGCTCTTTCTCAGCTAGACTAAAGGTCACTTTAAGACGTTCTTGCAGATTTTGTAGAATGTTCTTTGTAATTCTTTTCTGATTCTTTGTATTTTTCAGCCATTCAATTCCAAAAAACACGGAAACTCTACACCCCTTCGCTTTTGCCGGTAAATCTTCTATTTGATAGCGAAGGTGTATCTGTGGCAACAGTCAATGATGCAGGAGATGGAAATCAAATAAGGATAACAAGAAGAGGTAAATCATAGAACACAGAGATGAATTGGTCACTCACATTGAAATAATCACCAAGAGGAACACCATGAAGATTCAAAACTTCTTCTACAAGCCAACCCTTTCTATCTAAAAGGGGAGATCTTTGTTGAGTACTTGTCACTTCACCTTTATAACTTGAAACATGCTTCTCAAATTTGTAATATACTGCTCTCTCAGAGATATCGCTGTTCTCTGATACCCAAGGGGTATAAGAGTAATTAAGACAACCAGAGTTTTCCATGACCCGGCGGTCAACCTCGCCCCCACTAAATATCTCCATTACAAAACTTGCCTATAATAATTAAAGGAAAAGAACTATAATTAAACTAACATTTGGAAAATTGAACAGAGAATTGAAAAAGGAACTGATAGTTTGCAATGGACGAAGATGAGCTCGTATGTGCATGTGAAGCAAGAAAAAGAGAGATTACAGGAATTGGAAGAAAACACGAATGAATCTCAGACATGCTAACGTCATCCAGGACAAGGTACGAGCCACTGTCTTCACTTATAAGGGTTTTGGTTTCAGATTCTTGTTCAACAACCTTCACTTTCTGCTCTGGAGTCAACGATCTGGCCTTCCAGAGAGCCATGACAGTCCTATTTCATCACCAAAATAGTTATAAGTACAATTGAACATGATGCATTTTCATACAAGTTGAAGTGGCAGATATGTATATATAAGATACTACAAAATGACTCTTTTTACCTGTGTGCGACATTGAACGATACAAAGGACTGGAAATTGAAATGCAACCTTCCTTGTTCATCTTGTGTTTTTGCACCATGTCTTGCATCGACACCTCTACCCGGCCGAAGAGTTATGACAACTATTGGACTTCCCATTGATGAAAACGTAGGAGGAATAACCTGAATGTCTTCAATATCCTCCCAAAGAAAAAAGAATTTTGTTTTCTTTCCAAACAAATTAGCATGAAATCCAATTATTCTTGGTGATAGAAATAGGCGTCCCTGCAGATAAATATAAGAAACTTATGAGATAATACTATAGAACCATCTACCAGAAAATTTCAAACTAGAAAAATGACTTTGACTTTCAACATCACATAACAAAATAAACCACACCTGCAGGGGCATTTTTCTTTTCAAGTGACATGTGAAGTCATTGATGAGAAATTCCTCAGGTGGAAGCCCGAAGAGTTTCTGGAACGCCGAATTAGTTTGAGGAGACCGCATATTAATCTACATGTTTTTCAAAACGAAAAAATATACCCATAAGGTAACGAAACAGAAGTACAAAAAATAGAAGACGGAGTGTTTTACATACCTTCTTCCCAACCTCTTTTTCCATTTTAATTAGATAGTCTTTTGTTACGTTTCCACCTCTCGTGTTGTCCAAGAAAATTCTCAAGTGTAACTTAGACTGACATGCAAAAGCTAACTTGCCTTCAAGAGGAACCCATGTATCGGCAAGATCTGAGATGTTTGCTTTTAGAAAGTTAATTTCAGCATGCCCTAGACATGTAGCGGAATCAAAAGGCCCATCGAAATCATAAACTTCCACATCCATCACAGAAGGAGGATCATCCATCGCATCAAACTCAAATACTTCTGTAAAGATAGAGAATGCTCTTAACAGAAATAATTATATTACATTACATATATTCAAGTTTCAAGTTATGAGGTAGAAAATACAAAATGAAGTCGTGATATTCACCGTTCCATAAAGGATTAGATTTCTGGAACTTGATTGAACTGGTTCTTACTTTCCCATTGCAAGTAAACACCACATATGGGTCAGAGAATGCACCAGAGTCAACAGAAGCTAAATTGCTCCCTTCAAGCAAGGCAACGGTTAATAACCACCCATCTCCTTGAGCTTTAATTCCATGATCACTGCCTAATATTGGATTACCCCAAAAAGAAATCAGCATAAACAAAGACACAGAGAAATCAAATTAAGTAAATACACAAGAGACCGTTTGGTTTATTTCCATGTTCTCAATTTATTTTAATAAGCTCTTCAAGATATTATGAAAACAGATAAGTATTTAATTTGATCGACGTAGTGTGATTACCCTTTTGTGCTCTGGCTTTTATGAAGCGTGATATTAAACCCAGCATGCGTTCACCTTGAAGAACCAGGACAGCACAAACAACAAATTCACCTATTGAATCTGGTAAATCAAGTCCAGCAAACTCGAGCCCTTGAATTATACTCGGAGCAGTAAGACATATGTGGACAAACACATACAACCCTATGAAAACTGTTGAGACTACTGTGAAGTTAGCAAAATACTGCACTGCCAGCTTCCAATCTGACTGCGGCTCTGCTTGTAAAGATGCCAAAGCTTGCTCCTTACTCGAACTAAGTTCTGTTAGATCAACAAGTTTGACATCCTGGGATAATAAACTGGCATACTGTTCAAAACTATCCCTCATACCTTGCCGAGCCCCGTTCTCTATCATTCCTTTCATCATGGTGCTCTGTATGAAGTTCATTCGCCATGATATAACCAGATGTGAACATTGTTCTCCAGAAGGCAACTCAGGTCCAGGTGTGATTGTATAGAGTAATTCTACCCGAAACGTGCTCCCATACACAACATCAGGAGTGCTGACAACGACGAAAACAGCAAAGTTCTTCCCGTCAGCTTTTAAATATGTCTGGTCTTCAAAGGCTTTGACTGCCTTAATTAATTTGCTCGGAGCCTTGACATAAGTGACTAATCTTTTGAGGCTCTCCCCGCCATTCTCAAACTTCCAAGGTCCTAATTGCAGTTCGGTACTACCCTGTACATCAGCCAGTGACTTGAGAAAATTTGAATCGGAAGAAAAGAGTAACACGTTCAAGTCTTCGGGTGCAATAGTATAATGTTGATCGACTAACAACCCTCCAGGTAAGTTGCTAGGAATTTCACTTCCTTGATCTGAAGACTGCACTTTCTTCATAGCTTCTTCAAAAGTCTCCTCCGAGGACTGATCCTCAGTCTTGACCTCACTAACTTCCACTTTGGTACTTTCAGTTTGGTCTAAGTCAATGCTTCTATGTGACGAGGTTGAAGACATATCCGAATTCTTATTAAAGATATGAGCAATTCTTCCTGTGAGTGATTTCTGTGTACTTGGTTTTTCATCCTTAGCAGATGCAACTTCATCTCTTGCAGGAGAAGATGAGCTTGAATATCCAGTAGAAGACCTTGAAGGCGAATCAGTAATAGAATCCATACTTTTTCTTGGATGGAATACTAGATCACCATGAACATTTGACTCAACCGATGCAGTTTTCAATTCAAAATATATGCTCAAACGAACCTCACCTGCCAAAAAAAAAGCCAAAATTCAAAGTCCAAAATACCAGCAAAGTTATGGTCTACATCTTAGTAAGCATGTTGATTTCCAAAAGACTTAAAGCCACCCTTGAGATTTATTATCCATAACATGGTTTTAAATCTGCAGCCGCGATTGCGTCGGCAACATAAGGTAATTGAAGTCTCCACATCAGCATCACAACCGCAGTTTTGACCGCATATTCCCGCAATATAAAGGCTCCAACGTAATCGCAGCCGCATTTTAAAACCACAATCCATACTCTCAGGTTAGACAACAATCATTCAAATAATTAAGTGCAAAATCAATATAAAACCAGCACAAATTTAAGTCAACAAAATAAAAGTAACCCCTTAATTTGATCCTAAAATTTTCAAAACAGCTATTTTCTACATGAAACTAGTTCAAATTAACTTCCTACCGAGAACAAATTGATGTCATTCAAAACAAACAACCAAATAAACAAACTAATTAAGCAAAACAACACACACCAGATTCCTTGTTCTTGGACTTCTTGCTTTTGGGTTGCAAAGAGTACCAAGCAGTACCAAGTGATTTGATCTCCTCATCAAAAACAGTTGACATAGGAACTTTAAGTTGACCAAGAAAATCATCAATCAAATACTTATCTTCATCCATAACAGAAACAACCAACTCTTCTTTAAGATCATCCACCTTAAAGCTAAACTCTTCATCCCACTTAGGATTCAAACTCTTCTTAACCACTTTGGTCCTAAACCTTTGTCTCCCCAATTGTAACCTCACATATGGATCACTGAACCCATTAAGATCCATTGGTGGCAAGTTCTTTGCCTCAATCACACGAACCACAAGCTTCATTATCCAAACAAAAAACTCAAAAAGTTGAAGTCAAAATGTCAACTTTCTTTATGACCTTAACGCCCCAGAAGAATATTTCAAAAGCGTAATGCAGTTTATGTAGAAAGAAAGGAAATTCGGTGTTGAACAATAAATGGGGGCACTTAATCCGTGGAAAGTGTTGTTCTATGTCAAAATAAATTCAAAAAAATTGAAACTTTATGAAACAAGAAGAGACATTGAGAGTGGGAATAATCAAGAAAGAGGCATTGAATTGAAAGAAGCAAATGCTTAAGAAAAATAATGAAATGATTGATGATTGCGGGGGTTTGTGTAGAAAAAAATAAGAAGAAAAACTAGATACGAATTAGGGGGGAATTTGTACTGAAAAGTAAAAAGACTTTTATTTCCTTTTTTTTTTTTTCTTTTGCACCCTCGTTTTAAAAAATAAAAAACTCTAATAATCCGTTCATGTTAATTTAAATACACTAATAATTAATTATGATAATTTGTTAAAATGATTATTTCATTTTTTTTTATTAATTATTCTATTTTAACCTATGTGTATTGGTCAAGTGTGACAAATAATATAAGATTAAAAAAATATTATTTATTGTATTTAATGATGATAGAGTTGTATTTACAATATTGGCCCTACATGTTTTATGGTCACGCCGCGTTTGAATTGACGCAGTCGTATATGGATACTGTTCTACAGTTTTTATTTTATTTTATTTAAATGATGGCAAAATTCACCTTTTTTTTTTGTGTTGGAAATTTAATATTTGTTTTGGTTTAAATTGAAAATTGGATTTAGTTGGTACATTTTAGGTCAATTGGTTGAGAAATGATACGTTTAAATATTTTAAAATATTATGTATTTAAATGGAGGAAAGATAACGTTTAAGCTAAAGGAGAATATTTATCAAATTGCAATAAGATTTGTGATGTTAAAGAATTATTACGATAATAAAATATAACTGTAATAGAGTTAATGATTTTGCATTAGATGTGTCGTAAGATTGAACAAAATAAGATTAAAAATTATTATATTAAAAAAAATGGTGAGTAACACCTATAATAGAGAAGACACATATAAATTTTGTGATACATTAGAAGGAGAAGATAAACAATTAGAAGAAAAAAAAAACTTAGAAAGATCTTATGATATTAAGAAAGATATCAAAATTAACTATTTAGATAAAAATATAATCATAGATAAAATATTATGGCGCAAATTGATCAATGTATTTGATCTTAATTAGTGGGATAAGATTTAGTTGTTGTTATATGAATTTTGATCTTATCGGTTGATCAGAACATGCAAGCTGACCGGAGGATGATCTTTGACTGGTTGGAAAATTGAGGAGAAAAAAGGAGTTGTACTTGCAAGGCACTCTGACGATCAAGTAAGTGTGGGAGCAAAGACATACAAACAAAGTATTAGGGTTTCAGAGATGAATATTAGATACCTGGCCCTCACAAGTGTGAGGATTTATATAATACCCCTAACACGTAGCCATTGGTTCCTATTTTTGGGTCTAGATATCCGGGCCTGTGAATATAGAAACTGCCAAGACGTGGTTAAACGGGGCAGATGTGCCTACAACTAGCCATTAGTTCTGAGGACGAGGTAGATTACGGGCAGCGATCTGGTTGGCTCCCGGTTGTCTGGTCAACTTGATATCGGGCAGACAGAGAAGTGTTCGTCGGATATTATCGGTCTTGCTGGTCTAGGAGAGTCATCGACCAGTGGTGCATGACGGAGAGTGTTGTACCCAAAAAATTTCCCTCCCATTTCTCAAAGATTCATCATGGACTCTCAGTTTTGCTTCTATCAAGTTTCAAGTCTTGAATCATCACTTTTCAAGGAAATCATCCATAAGGGCAAAATGGTCAAAAGCACACTGAAAAAGTCAAACTTTGACTTTTAAATCAAAATCAAGTTCCAAGAATCATATTTCATTAAGGCATGAAATTGGTTCATCAAAAATCAGAAGTCATAAGTTACTTTGAAAAAATCAAATTTTCTAAACATTTAGAAAATTTTCTAAGTGTCTAGAGAATATGATACTTCAGAACTTCTGAGCCAGCGTCTATGCAAGTGCAGTCAGAAGTTGCAAACACGGTCCAGAACATGACGCTTCAATCAGAACATGCAGAAGCATTTCTCTTTGGTCAGAACATAACACTTCATTCAGAACATGCAGAAGCATTGCTCTTTGGTCAGAACATAATGCTTCAGTCAGAACAAGATTCTTCAGCATATGGAGGCTATGTTCAATGCTCTGGTCAGAAGATGCCTGTGATCGGTGGATCTGGAACTGACTGTTTAATGCTGGTTTCGCGAAATGTCGCGGAAGCAAGAGTCGCCACCGTCTTTTATTTTCTCCAACATGGAAAGGACAAAAGCACAGAAAAATTCCTTATTGAGATTAGTTCTCGGTTCGGGAGGTAGATTATAGAAAGGGAATGTATTAGCACCCTTTCCATCCATGGTTATCCATGGGCTCTTAGATACTTGCTCACTTGTGTTTTCAAAAATGGTTTGTTTGCTTTTCAATGTGGGTTTTAAAAAAGTTTCTTTGAAAATTTTAGTTCGACTCTTGTATCGGTCCTCAAGAGTGTTTGAAAAAATGCTTTCGAAAGCTTTTTGAAAATGTGTTGGTGTGAAAAGTATTTTTGAATTTGTTTTTGAAATTTAGAGCAAGTATTAAGAGTCGTCTACCTACCCTAAGGAATTCGTCTGTGTAGATGTCCTTTAAAGTAGTGCCATCCCACCATTGAGAGGTAGGTAGCACCATCGTTGGAGGTGTTCGGGTCAATTCGAGGTTCGGGACATGGTGATCACCGGAGTAATAGGAAGACACCTTAGAAGCTATCCTCATGCCAAGTTCCCGGATCATGAGGACTTACTAAGACATCCTCTACTCGACGATCACCTTTCGAGGCAAGGCAACAGTGAGGCGTACCCTAGGGGTGGTGTGTGAATTGTGTGTCATTTTCAGATATTTTTATCTTGTCATATATTGGTGATCTACGCTTTGATTTTATTTTTGGGCATTCATTCTTTCATGTTATTGTTTAACAGTTAAAGGTGCGGGAAGGATAAAAGGTCCTACGCTATTACAAAGGCGCGGGTCTACAACGCCAAATTAATCTAGACCCGATTTAAAATAAAGTGCAGAAAATAAATGCCTAATTAACTATTACAGGGCTTTGGAACAAGTACATTATATTTACATCAAAGAAATAAATAAAACGCGCGAAAAGAGAATATAATCGAATGCAAGGGCGTTGAACCCTTTGAAGGAATTAAAATAAAATTATTAAAATAATTAAGTTAAATAAAAAGAAAGAACTTATTTTTTATGTTTTTGTATTTATGACATTAAAGAAAATTAAATTAATTAAAAGTCAAATAATTAATTCTAATTCTAATTGTTTTTAATTTATTAAAGAAAATGCATTAAAGTTAAAACCTAGAATTAAAACTAAATTAATTATAAAATTTATTTACAAAATTAATGGTTAATGATACTTATAATAAAAATATTTAATTAATTAAAAAAAAGATAAAAAGTGCTAAAGGTCTATTTTTTGTTATTTTGGTTATTGAGAAAAAGAATTAAATTAACAACCTAAAATTAAAACTAAATTTATTATGGGATTTATTTACAAAATTAATACTAAAATAAAATATTTATTATTTTTATCTTTTCTGATTTTTTTTGTGTTTTGTGTTTTTATTATGAAAATAATTGAATTAATTTGAAATAATAAAAACTAAATAGAAGAAAAAGAAGAAAGAATGGAAAGAAAAGAAATAAAAATGCAAACTATGGGGGGGTGTATTTGATGAACTCTGGCCCAACAGAAGGAGCCCTTTTGCTGACTTTTTGGATCACATGTGGAGCGTTGACTGGAGCATTCTATGGACCTCCCATTCTGACCTTCAGATGCTTCTTTCAAGACACTTGGCAAGACTTTGTATTGGGTGTATGGTGAACCCTTGGAATGTGCACTGCGTTGGAACAAGTTAAACAAAATAATAGAAGTGAAGTAGGGGGACCTGGGATTCGAACCCAGGTCCCAATGATCATTGCCTATACGCCTTAACCAATGGAGCTGCGTGCGTTAGTTGTATATAATATAAGAAATAAATAATATAAAATAAAATGGTCATTAGTGTTAAAAAAAAAAAAAAAAAGCGCGCTAGATTCAAACCAGCCATTCACACTGTGCCACGCAGTCATCTTCCTCGTTGTTTTATTTTCCTGAAAATATCAAAACATTGGCAACGGTTTTTACACCGTTTCAGAAAGGGCCTTTACAAAAAATAGCGAACAGCACATGGGGGCTCATAAATTGAGCGCGAGGGTGGCACTCTCTTCGTCCAAGCATGCTGGTTCTAATGATGGTATTCAGGCATCTTAATTTTACCATTTTAAGAAACGCCCAATTTTGACCTCCAAGAACCCTAATCTGCATCCATGGTAGAATTACATATAGTATACAAAAACGCAATTAAAGTAGATGGTTAGCTTCAGAAAGGTTTAATTAGCACGAATCCACAAATAAAATGTTATGTAAATGCATAAATTGTAAAATGCGATTGTGAGAAAAAGTGGAAAGAGTCTGGCATCTGTACAGTGATTCAAGGGGTTAGGGATTGTGTTCTTGATCCAGGAAGGTTCCTTGATGTCCCAGGAATATGATAGGATCGTTGTTTTGGCTTGAATCAAGCTCTAACCCTGTTTTCAGTTTTGAGAAAAATGGCCAAAAATGTGAATTTGCTTTTTGTGTTCTTGCGCAGCTTAGGTCTCAATTTGGTTCTGTATCACTTGTATAGGCATTAGGTAATGTGAATCAAGAGGAATTATGGCCTCTTAATGCAAAGCAATCAATTTTCAAAATCTTCCATAAACCTCCATAACCAAACTTCCATTTTTGAACTATTTTTGAATTCTTGCCTTATTTGGCCCTTTGCACGAATTTGGTATTGGCTTAATGGTAGTTCA